AGCTACTTGTCCGTTGCTGCTACTGTGGCTGCTGCTGTTTTGCGCTTCGTGATAGATGCACGTATCCTTATAGTGCACGTGCGTTTCTTTTCGTAACGTAAGCGAAACACGCCTTTTTCATTTTCGTGAAGGTAAGAGAGAGAGAGAGAAAGAGAGAGAAATAATACGTAATTACGTTTGTGTCGTGTCTGGGTGGAAGTGACGACGCGATCAGTCGAGATTGAAGCCTTTCAATGGCACTGCACTGCACACACGACATCGCGCGGCTGACGTACATTTGAAAGCAGTAAAAAAATCGAAACTCACAAGCCCTCTCCTTCTGCTTTTTGCACGCGCGCGTAAACATTATCACGTGTGCCCGAATGTATAGATTGCAACACATTATATATACCTAGATGATGGGCTTCGAGGGTACACATTTTACCCGTTTTTGAGCGATTTTTTTCGTTCCCAGTAAAAAGTCCAAAGTTGCTTTGAAAGATAAATATTTACATAGAGCTTCTTTCTTGCGCGACGCGTTTCTTAATTGACTTCGTTTCAAAGGCGGGCCCTGTGTGTGTGTGTGCGCGCGACACGGGACAGATTTTCCCTTTTCCTTCTATTCAAAGACTTAGAGAACTAACGCCGAGTGTTAAAACAAATTTCAAAATTCGTAAAATAACAAAAATAGAGCACATTAGAGAGGGCGTCAAGTGTATTAACCCATGCATTGCCGTAATATATGCTAAAAGCGAGCAAGTCCGGAAACGATCGTGTCTACGCACACCGTATAGTATAGTTCCGAAAATTTCGAAAGTTTAAATATCACAACGGTGACATTTCTCTCTTTCTCTCTCTTTCTACCTGTGTACCTGCTGCTATGTACAGGTGCGCTCGTGTGTACATGATGTACGGTATGAATGTATATATTCATAAAATGTACGCGCGACGTCGCGACGCGCCGAGAAAAGTTATATGCCTGCGTACATCGGCGTCCAGTTTTTCGCACAGGAAGTTTGATCACGCGCGCCGCGTGCGGAAGAGAGCCGCGAGGAAAAAAAGTGTGTCTTGACCTAGCCCGCTCTATTTGTTGTACATGTATCTTACCTGCGCGCATGCTGCGCAAAACTCGTTTCTCGCATTTGATACAGCGGCGTTTCCATAATCTTTGCGCGATTCGCGCGCGCGACACGTTTTGCCCGCGACAACGCACAGCATACACAGGGATCAGAGACAAAAAAAGCACCGTAAAGTCGATGAACTCTCGCGTCGAGCCATACACCTCGCTCTGTGGGTCTCTCTCGCTCTTTCTTCTGGATGACTATTCTCGCATTATACACGCTGCGTGCGCACTCAAATTTTTTCCGAAAATTTTGTTCGCCACAGTTGCGCCGAGCTGCGAAATTCAAGCTTTCTTTTTTATCATCGAATTTCAAGCGAGTGAGAGAAAGAGAGAGAGAGAGAGAGAGAGAAAGAAGGGGGTACTGCGTATACTCGTTTAATACACCCGAGACGTTTTGCGTGGCCTGCGAACTGCAGCTGACGATCACCGAGACAAGAGCTCTGCGAATGCATATGGGAAGAAGAGCCGTTGCATCTCTTCTTACCGTAAAAAAAAGCTTCGAGAGAATCTGTCTCCTTACTCGTCTATCTCTTTACGGAGCGGACAAAGACATCTTCGAGTTTTTCCTCAATTATACGTTTTAATAAAACGAGTCGTGTGTCGCTGGGCATTAGCAAATTATTAGGACTGCGAGAGCTGCGCGCACACGTTTGAAGACGTTAATTTTGTTAATTGACACTTTTGGCAAGCTGCGCCGGCGGCGGTGGCGACGCTGCAGCGATACACCAGAGATTGAATTTCGCGCGATTAACGTAATAATGTGTGTATATAATGCGAAAAAGGGAGAGAGGCAGAGAGAAAAAGCGGATGCAAGCGATTGTGTATGTGTGTATGAACGCCGCGACGAGCTTGATTATATAAAGTTAGAGACTCTCTTGGACGACGACGATGCTCGCACCCGAATGATGATGTTAAAGATGAAAATTGGATATGCGCAGCTTTTGGCTCGAAACTTTGGAATTTTCTCAGGGCTTTTTTGTATAACATTAATATAACCGCGCGCGCGAGTTTGTCATCGAATGTATATGCGCGTGCAATTGGCGTCGTTCCAAAAATTTGCAACTTTTCTTATATTATACATAACCGAACGATATGCATTATGCGTGTGCTAATGCAAAAAAGAAATTAGAAAAAAAAGAATAATCGAACAATCGGTAGAGTTTATAACGCCGCCGTGCGTTCGAACGCACACTTGTTGTATTATAGACTCACACGCGTTAAAAGACACGCAGGAGAACAATGCGCGAGTTTAATTATAAAATTACACCGTTAAACGACCACCACGTGCTGCTGCTGCTGCTGCTGCTCGCGATGCGTGTAAGTGTGTTTTTGCAAAAGCTTCTCTCTGCTCGAGAGCGCAATGCCATTGTGCTTTGTTGCAGCGCGCGCAAGCGAGCCTATGTACGCGTACGAATACATACATGTAAGCGCGATTTTCTTCTTTTAATAGAACACATCGAGACATTCTGCAATTATGATTGCACGTATGTATTGTACAGAGAGGATCGACGCACACGCGTTGTACATAGAGCTTTATGCGATCAATTAAGCTTTTACGGACGCAAACTTTCGACTCGCGTCGCGCGTCGCAGTAAAAACAGAATAAGTAGAAAAAAAATTGAAGAAAGAAAAATATATGCTTACGCCTGTAAAATTTATTAATATAAGTCAATCAAGCGTTGTATGTGTCTGCGACGAGCAAACCCGAGTTTCCGCTTTGCGTGGCTATAATGTATGCGGAATCAGCTGCAAGCGCGGGTGCAAATTCGAATTAAAAATAAAATAAAAAGAACAGAATGATAATCGTGCGTGTGTGTATGCGTTTGCGATTTGATCCAAACTGTTCTTTCGTTTATGGATCTTTCTCTCTCTCTTTTTTTTCTTCTCGCTCTACCTCGTATATATAAACTCTATTTTATTGCCCACGACAGCCCACGTGGTGTTGTGCTGCATATATAAATCCGTCAACGCACACACGCGCACTAACTAACACACTGTATATATTGCTAACGGGGGCGTATAGAACAGAGCGAGCGAGAGAGAGAGGGACCCACTCGCAGCGCATCATTGTAATGAGGATGCCGCTGATTATCCAATTCGTAAATTCTCGCTTATACGTATATGGTGTGTGTATACGCACTACAACACAGCAGCCGCAGCAGTGCGTTCTAAGTCAAGATTCGCGTCCAGAGCGTGCGTTCTCCTTTTTTTTTTTTATTTTGCCTTTGCTTTGGCTTACGTGCCGCACGCTGATGCTTCTTTATTCGGATGTACACAGCAGCAGCAACTCGGACGAACTCATAAGACGTAATCTCTCTCGCGAAGTTGCTTAATTGGTCGAAAAGATAATTCGGAAGTCGTCGGTTGACGACGGAGAGATTTTTTTTTCGCTTATTCGGGGCTTCTATACAGCCGAACGCCCGCGCACGCGCGCACAACACGCGCTCAGCATGATGAGCGACAATTGGGGTAATTTTTTTCTCTCGTTCTAAGGTAATATGTGCTGTACAATACACTGCGCGTGCGGCCGATTAACAACAAAATTTTGGTCCAGTTCGTTATTTTCCGTTTTCTGTATTTAATTTAGACTTTAATTATGGGAAAATGAGAGCAGCTAATACGACTGCTTCACGCGAAAGGATCAATCATGCTACGAAATCATTATGGGAATCAAGAGCTCGTTATGAGCTTTGATATGCATACACAGAAATGATCCATTGGATTTTCGCCTCGTAATGGCGCTCAGTGGTAGCGACGTCATGCCGTTCGTATAATATTTTCAAACGATTTTGATATATACTTTATTGTATGGACGTGGCCAAATTCGAGCTCTTTAAATCATATTTTCTATAATTATCGAATTGCCATTTTCAAGCCAAGTGGTACGTGTCTATGTGTGTGGCGTGGCGCGTTTCCGCAAACGCAAGTGAATCGCGGAAATATTACGACGTGATTAAATTCGCGAGCTTCGTTTCTTTTCCTTTTTTCGTTTGTTTCGCATATGCATAGTCACACACAAACACACATGTGTGTATCATCACACGTACGCATACGTATCGCATCGATACGACGACGTTCAATGAACTTTATATGTACGCAGGCCCGACTCGCAATCATCATCAATTCTAATATATATTTTTTTCTTTATATGACTCTTGCACGCTACCCGTATTATATTCGTAGCTCCGAAATTGAATCGTGGCAATAGACAATTTATAAGTACGGATGCAAAATTCGTTCTCCTATATACCATATATATATCGAGCTTTAATTGCCGGTTTTTGAGCGACGTAAAATATACGTACACACACGCCATTGTGAAACTTTATCTCGTCGCGCGCTCTTGAACTATAATCTGCTGCTGGGGGATTTTTTCGCGAGAGTATAAAACGATTAAAGGCCGCTACGCGCCATGCCTTGTAATCCGAGTGTCGAAAAGTAGCCGTTGCTGCTGCCATATACGTTATACGTACGTATATTTATATTATATGTAAGAGAAAAAACAAACAAACAAATGTGTGCATCGTGGCCGCTCTCAGTATGTCTCCACGTAGTGAGCCTCGGTAAAACGATCATCGCCCGTGCCCGCACCGACTTGGTGTGGTCGGGCGCAAAAATTTCATGAAAAGCTAGTGGCCGCAGAATATATATTATATTATAGTATACTTGTGTGTATCTCTTTTGCATCATTATTCCAACGACGCAGAGAGGAAGTGTCGCTGCTGCTGCAACTCGCACAGGAAGCACGATATCGAGTGTGTGGTGCGAAGCGTGTATAAGTCAACGCAACGACGACGACGAAAGGGCGCGAGTATATAACCGTTTTATACACACGATATGACAAAAATATAACGAATAAAACGAAAAACTCGAGAGCGAAAAATAAAATGAGACTTACCGAGCGAGCTTTCGGGATCGGAGAGATCCGAGAGGGACGGCACTTTGCGCATGGCGAAGGAGCCGTTCATGCGTCCGGTGTAGCTTGGCACCACGCAGCCCTCCTCCTCGGCATCCGAGGGCAACTCTTGCTTCATGTATTTGGCCACCTCGGTCATGTCTCCAGCGGCGTAACCCAAATGGCCAAGAGAGAAATGTACATTCCGCTGCAAGAAGAGGAAAGAAAGAAAAATGTGATTAATTCACTGCTTTTGTACAATTTGTTAGTTCATTAATACATATTTTAAGGGACGATAGTTATTTATAGATCTTTTACCATATTTGACAATAATATAGAAATATTGTTCTCTTGACCACTTTCCTCAATCATCTTTACAACAACAGTGATACACATTGTATATAGGTTCACACGCAATGTTATGGTTCCCTCTCTCAGCTGAGCGAGACGAGCCCATCGGGCAATAACACGCCAATACAATAAATTATATTTTCTTTACACATAAATTTTAGATTTTGGTGAGGAGAAAAAAACATCTACGTAATTTTATTTATTTTTTTGCATAAATCTAGGCAAAAATTCGTGGGAGAAAGCAGGACGTCATGTAAGGCACGCGTGTGTATATGTGTTATACCTCTTTCTACAATCAGGTAAATGATGCGCATGCTAATGACAAATTGATCTTTTTTTGCGGTCAATTCTTTCTAGGAATTACTCTTTTTTTGCCTGGCGCCGCGAGTTCTCAATGTCGTCTCTTCGATGAAAAATATATTGCTCGAGAAATATGTCGCCGCGATTGGGTCAGCCTCGGGGGCTCCTCCTCGCATCGACAGATAGACATGTCATAATTAGGAAATAATTTCAGCAGCAACACTTTGACAATATTATTATTTCAGTTGTTGCGTGTATAATATACAAACATTATCGCCTCCCGTGCAGATGAAATTCCGCATATTTCCGGAATCAGGCGGATATCGAAATTTATCGGAGCAAAAAAAATTTTTATTCCCCTCCCCTTTATGAATTGGATTTCAGATTTTTTCTCTCCTTTTTTTATACGGTTTGAGGTTTGTATAACGCCCATATGTACTAGAACGAGATGACGACGCGCGCATATAATCGTAATCGGACCTCGCGCAACCGCGCATGGCTACGATAGCTGCAGCAGCATTTGCCGACCGTGCTAACGTACACGTATTTCATTCATGAAATTCTGTCTGCGTTACGCTTTTACGAAATCGTTCAGTAAACCGAATCTCAAACATCATCGCGAGGGAATAACGTATACTGCACTGTATTCACGTTATTCCCGGCACACAAAGACGGAGAAAATTAGCCAGACGCGGCGTACATACGCTACACCGAGAGACGTGTATTATAATATACATTCACGCTCTCCGGTATACACAAGGACCTGTAGAAAGGGCGTGAGGAGGAGGGAAAAAAAGGCACAAGAGCAGCGGCAACCTCGACCACAAGGCAAATAAAAAATAAAGAATCTAGCGGAAAAAAGGCAGAGAGAGAGAGAAAGAGAGAGAGTTTACAGTGGAGAAGTAAAGAAGAAGAAGAAGGCAAGTAAGACGGAGACGAAGAAACTGGAGAAACGCAAAAAAGGGGATGTGTATAAGATGCACTCGGACACATACAGCACGTACACATAAGGCAGAGGAGGCCCAAGACAAAGAGTCTGGGTGAAAAAGTGGAGTAAAGGAAGAAAACGAGAGAGAGAGGCAAGGAGGAGGAGGAGGAGGTGGAGGAAGAGAACGGCGAGAGATGTAAGGCTTCGCACATTTTAAAACCGACAAAGAGCAAGCCTATATACATGTGATTTGTGTGTGTACACAAGAAGCGTAGTACATACACGTACACGTATATACATATACAGCACATGTTCGGGCTGCGAATGAGCCCATGAATAATTTTTTCAACGGATTCATCGGTGTTTGCTTTGCGTTAGCTCCGCGCGCGACACGACTTTTGCGCACCGAGCCGCGCGGCTTACAATACAATACATTACATACATATTTATAATACGTTAATAAGGTAATGAGAAAATTAATAGAATTTTTTTTGTCATATAGTTGGACTTCGAGGACGACGACGACGACGTCGAAGTAGATGATGATGATGAAGACGGTCTTCAAGGCTAAAAGAGATCGAAAGTAATTCCGAAATTTCGCATTTTACGATTTTCTCGCGCACCTCGAATTGCAATTTCATTCAAGCTTTACTCGTAGAGTGCAGCTTATCGACCTCGCGTGCTGTGTGTGCGACATGCAACGGGCAGTGAGCTCGTTCGCTCGCGCCCACGTCAATCAGCGCTTCAACCTTCGATTACCAACCGACCTCTAACGATCCTTCCTCTCTCTCTTTATCTTTAAATGCGGGGGGAGCCCTTCGAAATTCAACGCAACGCAATGCGAGCACCATGTGCATAATGCGCGGCACGTAACCAGCAGCAAAAATAAAACAAGTCAAAAGTAAATTACAAATACATCTCGCGGAGTTGGTACACGCACGAATTACAGAGGAGGGGCGAAGAGAGAGAGAGAGAGAGAAGCGAATCCATGAATGAAACGCGAACCTGTATACACGGCTACCTACGAGCGTGTATGTAACGTACATTTACCGCGTATATCCTACGTAACACACACAAGTGCAACGGCTAAAATGTGCAGGGAAACGCCAGGCGGAGGGAAACGGACCGCTGACCACTTGACCTTCCTCTCTCGGAGCTGCATGCAGTGTACGTATATGTGTGTGTGTGGCTAAAGCAAAGACTCGTTAAGTAGCTGTCTGTGTGTATGTGTGGGGCTTTCATGAATGAAACGCGCGTAAAAGAGAGATAGAGAAACTTTACTCTCGTGGGCTCGCTGCTGCTGCACAGAAAGTGACGTAACCTATTCAGACTGGCTCTCGCTACGGAATTGGAGCGGTCAGCCGAGCCGTGTTGTTGCGGTCGTTTTATGTATACTTTGCGGCGTGGGAGAATATTTACTAAAATGTCATCGATTTGGCAGGTTTTTTTTTCAATACATATAAATTGATACGCATCCATGGGAATTCATCATTTTTTACGTTGGTACTTTCTGCGGTATACGCGTACGAAGCCCTACGCGACACGCGAATATATCGTTGTAATCTCACGGTAATCACGTTGTTGTGAAAAAAAATGAAAAACAAAAATTGAAGAGTCACGTGAGAGATGAAGAATAAGAAGCGACCGAGGCAAAGGTTTTACAATACCAAAATTGCGTTACATCTTCGCGTGAAAATCATCTCTTGCAATAATTGCGTATACAACGATTAAATATTATCGTTATTATATTATGAGAAAGAAAAAGATACTCGTTGCGAAACTACGTGCAAATATTATTGTCGAATTTTCAGTCGTGCGCGATGTATCGCTCTTGTTCGTTCGTTCGCCTTTTGCACAGAGAGTGAAATCTTCTTCTTTTTTTTTCTTCAAATTCCACATAAATACGAAGTGTACTTTTCTCTCGTCTCCCGCGCGTTCTCTGTTCTTTGCCGCCCCGCAAGTGCAAAGGCAGAAGGCCAAAATAACGCGCGGGAAAATAGAATAAGTTTCTCGAAAAGCCCAACGGTAGGGGAACTATCCGCGCGAAGAAGAAAAGAAAAACGGGAGAGAGAGAAAAGATCAAGGACCAATTGGACGAAGCACACTTAAATTAGAATCTTGACGCTCTCGGCACTCTACAAACGAGAGAGGTCAGCGAGCGCGTAGAAATCAAGCTAATATCATCACGGTGCTTTACGCACTCATCGAACATTGCGCAACAAAAGTTTCGCGCATCCGAGTCTCTAAGGATATTCCTTTTTTTCTCATACGGAACAAATTAATTCTACGGAGATGACTTCCTCTATCTCTCTTTCATGTACCTTTAAACGCCCGCGTACATAGCCAAGCATTTGTAATCGTCTTTGTAAGAATAGTTTTCGTGCGTGTGTGAGATAAAAATGAAAAGTAAAAAATCACGCTTTAATGGGATGCTTGTAATATATGGTCGCTTGTATATACCTGTACACAAGTACACGATGCTCTAAAGTCGTGAGTGTTCATCATCATCACCTGTTGCGTACTATATCTGCGTATATTTAATAAGTTTTTCCACTTTTGACCAAGAGCTGCTGCTGCTGGCCGAAGAAGAGAACGAACAAAAAAATGAGCCTCGAGCTCGGTGGTCCACCGTTACGAACTCATATACTGTTCTCACAATAATGTACGTACACGCACACACGAGCGCGCGTGAACAACAAAAAACAAAAATCTTCGCGTTTCACTGTGTATGGATGAGAAAAAAAATCAAGACGTTTTCTCTCGTAAAGCAGCAGCAGCGAGATGACACATTGCCAAGATAATAAAAACTGTCCGAGTCGAAGAAAGGTGCGTTGTTGTCTTCGTACGCATGGCGCGTACCATGCAACAGCAGCAGTTTTTTTCTATTCAATATCTTATATCGATGCAAAATGAACTTTGGGTAGTATAAAAAAAAAAGAAGTAAAGAAAGAAGAGTTGGTTATTTAAAGCGCGCAGACACACTGGCTCGCGCTCCGAAGCGATCGATGGGTTATAATACAAAAAAGAAGCGCGCGATGCAACCGATCGTTGTCATAATATAAGCTCGTAAGTATGTATACTCGTTGCTTAAGTGCTCGCGCGCCACACGCTTTATTATTATATAATTGTTTTGGCCAGCCGTCGAATTGTTATTAACATTGTGTATTGTGGCGCGAGCGTGCACGAGATTGGCAAATCGAGGTGTTTTATGTTTTGGAATTTCAAGTTCACATTCGAGACGCGCGTCGCACATGGTGCTGTGCGGGTCGGGCCATAGCAACTGGGAAAGGCCATCGAACTTGCGAACTATTTGACAATTCGCATTTTATAATACACCTACAACTCCGATTTTCGACGCCCAGTTAATACGTGTGTGTTAAGCCGTCGCGCCGTTCGTAGAATATCATTTTTTGACATTGCCTTGACCCTCGCCCTCTCCTCTCTTGCGCGAGCTCTAGTGTGAGAGCTCTCAAGCCTCGCTAAGCTAGTCACGTGAGCGAGAGAGAAACAGAGCTAAATTAAGAAACACCGATCAAATCCGCCTTCTTCGATCGCGAGCGAGCGCCACGAAGCAAAAAAGCAAAAAAGCGACGCGGCGATAGCAAAACCCACGCCTCGTTTGTTGCAAGATCGATTTCTTTTTCAGCTATTAACTGCGCCGTGAAAAATAAAAATCATACATGCAACGTTCGTATATTGTAACGTGTATATGAGCGTTCGCGGGCGCGCGAGAACGAGAGTGAGTGAGAGAGAAAATAAAAGGCCCCCCTCAAACGCGGTCGATAAATATGCAAGGAGCGATGCAGAGAGTAGAGCTACGTCTATAGCTATAGTCATATACGTGCTTCGGTGCAGCGTCGTGATACACACGCGCGCCGGGTCAGATGTGGCATAAATTTTCGCCGTGTACGCGGTCCGAAATAGAATTATCCGCGGCGTACAGAGAGAGCCAGAAGGGGCGAACAAGAAGAAGAAAACGTATTTCGTAGAAATATGTACGCTATGTTGATCTGCGAGCGCGCGAGTCAATGGTTCATTCATGCTATGCTAGAGATCGTGCAGCGGTTTAACCGAGTTCGCCTCCCGCGGTAAATGCATTATCGCACATTTTATCGACTTTTTGTCGTGTACGCTGCTGCTCGTTTTCTTTTCGTTTTTGACTGATGTATTAGTAGGTGAGAGAAGAGTCTCGCATTGTCAGTTTTAAAGGTGTGCAGCAGCAGTGTGACTCTGATGACGATGACGTTGCGATTATTCTACCAGATTGTCATCTGAGTCATATACCCCCGCTGCGAGATTTTTTTAATAATCTATTTGTTAAGAAATATCGTGTAATTTCGTTAGCCTCACTATAACGTAATAATAAAGTCGATTCCTCTCGCTCTGTATCACTGGGAGCGACGCGATTTAATGAAAACGTCGCGCGCGCTTTTATTCGTTTCTTTAATTATGCACGAAGACGGAGAGAGTCATACATCGAGTTTTTTATTTCAAAAATTTTGTGTATCACGAAACGAGATTAATGTGCATTTCCGCTGCAAAGTAGTCGAGCTGCAGCTAGCCCCGAAAGGGCCAAGCGCGTTTATTTTTAAAACAAAATATCGAATTCTCGCGATCACAGGCACTTTTTCTTCTTCGTCTTGTTGGCTGTATAGAAAATAAAAGTGTAACCTAATGAAGTATGCGCGCATGCGGAGCAGCGCAGGTAACCGTAAACCAAGAGAGCAATAACATTGGTCGCGATGCGCGCTGCGATATTGACATTGTTTAGGAATGACGTTGGCCGTGCAAAAGGGGGTGACGAGTTGAAAAGATAATGTATATTTTTAACGATATTACATACAGCTGTCAATTCTTATCAGGTGACTATGAATTGAGTGAGGGACAGAAGTCTGAGCTTTTGCTCCGAAAGATGTAACACAAAATTGTCAAAATCTTTTTGACGTTCGTACTTCGTGAGTCAGTCTAGCGCAGATAAGATTTGGCTAGAAAATCCACAAAATCTTTCCACAATAACAGAGTAGGGCAATCGGTTATTTTATCGTTTATGTGTAGATGAAGTATCACTCAAGAGATGACGCAGTGTATCTATTCACAACTGTAAAAATATTTTGAACAAAAAGTCAAGCTCTCGTCCAATGCCATCGACGATTAACTCCTCCGTTGACCGAATATCCATAGATAAAATCAATTTTTAACAGCCATACTACGCCGTATAGTATAAGAATCGCTCTAGTTGGTTGCCCTCGTGCACTCAAAAATAATTTCGCGTAAAGAAGGGCTCCACTCCTTTTTGGTAAATCTTTGATAAAAACGTATGTGAGCTAGAGCGCGCAGGCATGACAAATGATTCAGAGATTTATCTAAATCCTAATTTAAGATTCTACCCTTTCTCATTCGTGCGCGATGCGGTGGCGTACATACGGTTGAAAAAGTCAGCCTTGTACCGTCAGCTAGGCACAGCATTAAGTGCGCAGAGCTGTGGAACGAAACGAAGCAAAAGGTAAAAAAAAAGAAGAAAAAAATAGAAAGAAGATGAGATAAACCAAATCTGCTAAAGTCTGCTGCTGCCGCATGTGTAGAGCGAGCTGAGCTTTGAATAATAAAACAGTCGAGCAGCTCTCTCTCTCTGTCTCTCTCGGGCGCAGTTTGAGAGTGCGAGAGAGAAGGCAAACCAAAGGATCATCGCTGAAATATTCAATTAGTATCCATGCACGTAAATATAAATTCGAATGCGAGCGAGATACAGAGAGAGAGAGAGAGAGAGAGAGTCCAGGATTATATAGTGTAGTATAACTTGGAGCTGCTCGAGTTCATGTAATATGTAAAGTATGACGATTCAAGCTCTCGAGCATCTATCCTCCTCCCTCCTCTTTCGCGTGCGGCACACATTTTATCCATAAAAGATAATTTTAAACTTAGCCGCTGCGCGCGCGCACGCGATAGGTATATGATATATCCATCTACGCTTTATATATCTATACAAGTATACGAGAAAATCTGCATGACGAATTCATACCATTCACTCGCTGGGGCCATCGTCTGCCGAGGCGTTTATATACACGTTAGCTCTCGACGTGAAAATTACTTCAATTTGACATTTATAATGCACGTATATCGTGCGCAAGTTCGCTCGTTTCATTCACAGCTCTCGACTACTCTTTCTCTCTCGAACTCGAGCGAGTGGATAAATAAAATAATGCGAATGAACGGCGAAGCGATAATTTTAGAAAAATCGTTCTCTCGAAAATTGCGTCACACGCAGATAATACTTGTACGGACAACAGAGAGAAGCTTTCGCGGGCTTAACTCAGCTTGCGGAGACGCGTCGAAAACAATCCGCGAATAACGTTACAATTATTACTTTCTCGTCGACAGAGTTATTTGTCGGACGCGCACGTTAGAATGCACGTATACGACATTTGTGTACGATACGAGCTTGCGACGACGATTACGCGTTTATAAATGTGTATTATGTGTACGAGTGTATGCTGTGTAGTACGATGCAGTCATCGCGTTGCAAAACAACAAGCCGCAACGTTTTCATTATACGACGATCGGAGCTGATCACGATCAAGATCGTGTGCATTGACTGTGCCTCTGCAGCACATATCGCACACACATACGTCACACACGTCTCGTTATCACAGAGAGAGAAACCCGCTGCGTATATTATATTATAGCGATCGCGCGATCGCCCGAGTACGTACGAGACGAGAGCATTTCAATGTATATAAGTCGCATTAGAGATATAACATGTGTATGTGCAGTTCGTACTGCAGAGAGAGGTAGGCGTGGGAGGGGGAGAGCAAAGGCAGCAGCAGCAGTACAGCGTATAAATACTCGATTATTCAATTATTTAGCACTTGATATGGCCCGTTGCAAGAGCGACCGGCCGACCGTAATTGAATGCTTTCGCGTCTGCTGCTACTGCCGCCGCTGCAGTATATGTGTGAGTGAGAATTTAAACTGCCTCTCTCGGCCGCAGTTACGAGATCATCGTCTGCGTCAAAATACATATTATATATAATATTTTAAATTTGTAATATGATGATGATGATGATGATGATGGTGTACCTTCAACGGACGATGGTCAATTGGATATCCCTTGTGCGCACCAGGAGCCACCTGTGATGCTTCGTAAAAGTTGTGTTCTTCTTCCGCGTAGTCATACAATGATTCCATATCCATGTTATGAACCTGCAACGAGAAAAGGAGAAAAGAGAAACCGTAAGATTTGATGTTTTGTTTTCATTCAGTCAGAGATTTAAAGGTCCATTATTTTTTAATTTGTATACTAATACTACTACTAGTACGTGTATAACGTAGTCTTTCAGTTTGACGATTTTGTGAATGACGTATGTCACTCCTCGAAAAATCAACCCCCGCCCAAAGGCATTAGAAAGAAGCGTACTCGAATGTAGAGCAGCACACAAACAATATAATGACCGAGGCCGCCTCTCCTCGCGCGCACATTATATATAGACCAGTAATGCGTATATAAATGGGCCCTAGCTCATAATGTGTATAGGAATAGTAGCCCCGTTGAATGAGCTATTTTCTCACGTTGAGAGATCTCTCCCTACGCAGCAGCACATGTATATATCTGCGCCAGCGCGCGCTAAGATCCCGCATATCCCACACATAGAGCCGCGACGGCGGCATGTAACCCTCGATGTATACCTGCTCCCGTTGCGAGCTGCTCCCACACTGCACATGCTGGGCATTTGCGTACTACGTATAGCATCATGGCCCTCGAGAATTACCGCAGATTATCTTCGCGCCGAGGAAAAACAAAACCCTTGCCTCGCGCGAGCCCTGTTCTCCTCCGCGACGCGCGGCATATTCTCAAGCCGCAAATGCACTTTCTTGCTCTTTTTTTTTTTTAATAAACGAAGGGCCCTGAATGTTACGATATATACTCTACATAAGCTTTGGACATGCTGCTGTAGTATATGTATAGCAAGGCAAGAGTCTATCGAAGAAGTTGGGCCCCGCCGAGTTGGATCGCGCGAAGACTCTGGCTTTCTCTCGCGCCAGCACACGAGGATCGAATTTCGATGCGCTGCGCGGCGCACAACTTCGACGCGACGACGACGACGACAGATGGTACGTGCGTTGCTGCTGTTTCTGCGCTGCAACGTGTGTGCACAAGTGTCTAGCTCATGTGCTGGGACCGTGTGTATATATTTAAACCTGCTAAAACATCCAAGGACGTCTCTCACTCTCTCACTCTCTCGAGTGCATGCAACAGCAGCAGCAGAAGCTTTTTCAGGCGCGGAACTTTTCATCTTATAATGTTATATCGTCTGGGTGGCTAATATACTCTCTAGAGCGCGTTTCCGGACGGCGCGGGCGCGCAACTGTAATACTTGACGCATCGGTGCACGACGGTGCAGCACACGTCTGAGTTTTTCGGACGACTTGACTGATTTTTTTCAAACGTCGCGGTGGTCCTCTCCGTATAATAATATGCGCGCGTAAATCATTGGTGCGATCGGCTGTGTATTTAGGAAATTGATGCTAATTGAGCGGTACATGTCGTATTACACGAGTGTAACCCCGAAAATTACGAAAGTGTAATGTACTACTGGTTAATAAAAATTCCAGCGTATGTAAAGCGCGGGTGATATCTCTCGGACAAGAGCTGCGAGTGATGTGCGCGTAATTGCGCAACGAGGACATTTGAAGCTCGCTTACTTTCTATATGTTACAACTTTTTTATTTTGACTCACGTATACGCGAGAATAAAATTTCCCAAAAGTTCTTAATGTTCAAAGGTCGGAGTGAGTGCGTAAAAGAAAAAAAAAAGAAAGATAAAAGAAAGATTAATTAATAACTTCTCGGGCTGGGTCGGTAATGCACAATAGAGAGTGTAAATATATAATAAATTAGCATCTGAAAAGCAGCATTGTATGAGCTTGGGTCGCCCCAAGTAAAAAAAAGTCCTGCGAGCGCTCAAAAGGCCCCCGCGCGAAACGAGCGAGCGAGCGAGCGAGACAGCGCAATGATCATCGCAATAACGAGGGAATTCGATCCTCGCACGGCATAGCAGGTAGTACATATGAAGTAAGGCCCTTCTCTCATCGTGCGACACATACAGCGAAGCCATATTACACTGGTATATAATAATATAAAACTCAAAGTCACTTCCTTCATTATGTACATCGAAGAATCGTGTAAAAATCGTGAGAGAACGAGCCCTACTATATACACAAGTGAGCCGGCCCATGGCCATCGTAGAGTCTGTGTGACATTTATACGATCCGCGCAGATATATATAGAGAGTTTTGCGAGCTTTACACAGAAAATGGACCGAAAAATGAACTCCAAAGCCTAGGGGGTAGGGATTTGCTCGACGCGATATAATAGCCGAGGCGTGTGTACCATATATTCTTCGAGAGAGACCTGTGCGCCTTGTACATACATGTGGTATTAGCGCGCACTTGACCCTCTTAACTTTGGCAAATATACTAGTCTCGTTGTGTATCCCAAAAAGAAATCAAGACCCAAAAAAGTGGAGAAAAAAAATGTCTAAAAAAATGAAAAAAAGAGGAACGTTCTTTTCTCCATCGTCTCGGGTTTATATTTATTTTTCTTTAAAGCCACGTCTATGCGCCTCCGAGAATATTAAAGAATACACAGAGCGCAGAGTATCATAGAGTTTTCATTGTACGCGGCAAATGACGCTCGAGCTCGTTGATATTACATTATATTTAAAGAACACAGTCGTCGTCTTGGCTCCGTGTGGGGTTACAGCAACATGAACGCATCCTAGGGTTGTTTGTCTCTTATACGAAAACTTGTACAGTATGTGCCGGCGATCGTGCCTGCGCCCATCAAACTCGAAGCGTTCGAAGAATCGCTAATGAAAATATTGTCGATTAAAAGCGTATTAGAACGCGGATCGTTAAAGAGGGGGCCGATCCAGCCGACTACCACTACCACCTGCAAAGTATAATAAAGAACGATTCGTCCTGTTTATAGAACAGAGAGTGCTATCGATAATCACTCGATTCTTCCTTGTGTTACGTTACTTCCGAAAAGTTGACCACAGCGTTAACGTTTGGAGATGATCGTTTCCGCAACAGTAGCAGTAGCATTAGGAGCAGCAGCAGATGAATAAAAAGTTTTATAAGGCTCGATTTTATTTTTAGATCGACGCGATCGTGCGCGCGCGCGCGCGGGGGCGAGACCAAAAAAATGTGTATGCTTGCGTTTATACACACGACATATTAGATGAATAAATACGCGGTTAGAATACTCCGTAACGATCGCATTGGTGCGCGATATATGCACAACAGCAGTAGCAGCACATGCGATGCCGCGTATATTATACATCGCGCAGCATCTCAATACAACAGGCTCGGAAGAAACTTCTCCTTGCTTTTTAAGGCTCCACATGTGGTGCGCTCGTCGTCGTCGTCGCGCTTTATATTCGCTCGCACGTTTGCGCGTATGTGTTTGTAAGGCATAAAAGATCTTTCTCTCTCTCACTCTCTCTTTCGACTTGGCAGTAGCTCTACAAAATTAGCATCACCCTCCCCGTATACGATGGCTTCTTGGTGCGTAGCAGCAGCAGCGAGTGCAACACTATACAACAGTTTGGAGTTATAGAGGAAAATTGCGTAGGATATTTTTAGCAATTCTATAAGAGCCCGAGAGAGAGGTATAGTGTGGCATTATATATGTGCTTGAGAGTACACAAGAGGGAAAAATATATATATAACTCGAGTTTGTACGAATATAATGAGCGATGGCGAGTTTTGGGTAAAATAAAAGAGCAACGCCGAGCCACGAAGAAAACACACTACTACTACTACAACTAAGCTCGCGAGAGAAAGAGACAGAGAGAAAAAGAGAGAAAGATTCAGGTGAATTGACGCAGCTCGGCCATTTATATAAATCTCAGTTCGCCGCGCGGCACATTCTTGGAAAGTCTCTTACTGGCCTTTTCGCTATTGTAAATAACCGTAAGGAACTCCAGCAATACGTGAATGTGCTCCGTGCGCGTGTATGGATATACGAAAACGAGCCACGCGATCGTTTATGAATGAAATCGTATACTCGCATAATGTACGCGCGCGCACCGATTGCGAGAGATTTTGGCAGAAATTTTTTTTCCTCTCTTTTTTTTTGCTGCTTTTGCTCGATTGCCTTGGCTATATAGCAGATATTTATTCATGATAATTAGGCTAGACTCTCGATTTTAATAAATGAAGTCCACTTTAATCGACTACTCGAGTTTGATTTTTATTAATGCCATTCAACAAAATACACACACACGATATACCCATTGACACACACAGGCTCGCGCGCCGGATCCACCAGAATAATTAATCGACGCCGTGTGTATCTAAAAGACACATCGAGCGAGATTCATTTTTCATGTTCCAATGGTGTATGTATAATAAAGTTTGTAAATAATGGATCGATTTCGATTGCCGGGGGTTTGACGAGTTGCGTCGATTTAGCGCCCCGCGCTAAATTAAATCGCAATTGATCAATTGCACCTCGAGGCGAGATCATCGCGTTTTAAAAAATGAATCGAGCGTGTTAAGAGAGCATGGTAGTACGAGGAGGTAAAAAGAAGAATAAAAAACATCTCGATCTCGCGCGCGCGCGCTGACAGTTTTCTCAAAACCGAATCTCGTCGCCTGCTCATAATACATCATTGTTCGCGATCAACTGCGTGCATCTTGCCCATACGTGTATAGCAAGTATTATCTATCCAATCCATCTTTGCTTTTGCTTTTTTTTTCATCATCGTCGCATCGCGTATATAACCAAGCTCGAAGTGTTCCGCGTGCTGTTGTTGCTGCTCATTGATTACCTCATCGAGCATAGAGACGCGACGAAGGAGTTGGAGATGCTCGATCGAGTCCCCCGAAAAATACAATACCCTTTAACGTTCGAGAGATCTCTCGCTTCACCGATCACGCATCGGCTCAAAAGGGCTGCTGCTATAACCTCCTCGAGTTGCATCTTCTCTCTTGGCTGTCGCGGGGGCGAAAGGGGATATATAACGACAGTTTAAACGAAGACGAAACAGCTCCTTCACACGCTGCCACGCTACCCCATAGCAGCAGCCAGTGCATATTATATTGCTCGAAGTGCTAGAGAAGCAGCAAACGCGAAGAAGATGACGAAGATCGACGAAACTCGGGTGAATGTTTTTTATCCGATCGCTCGCGCGTCTT